CCCCCATAGCCCCCCCCCACTAGATCCCTTATACTCTGTTATCCCTGCTACTGGCCACTGTGTTGTCGGCCCCCTCCTGCCATTCCCCACTACTTGTCCGTCTGGTGAATCTAGACAGCCTATCTAGAGGTCTTTGTTTTAGGAAGGTCCGCTGTTCCTCATCTAGTAGCAATCAGTTGTCAATATTCCTTTAGATAAGATTGGGGTCTGCTCTTCATTTTCCCAGTTCCATGCTGGGTCACTATCTGGGAGTCTCTTGTGCCACGTTGGCCAATAACTCAAAGGAAGGTATCTCCTGTATGGCATTGTTTCTCGTTATGTAGCCTTTAGCTATACATATGGATTCTTTAAAAATTATATTGACCCCATTAATCTTTGGTTATACTTTCCTTTTGGGTGTTTACGACCCTACAGTTGGTCCGGGCCTTTTCTTAACCCTTTCCCCAGTCACAGAGACTCAGAAAACTAGTGTGCCTCTGTCTGCATTCACAGTCTGCTTTCTCTGGGTTTGTCTTTGTCTGTAGGCGTTTTTGTCCTGACTCAGGTGATTAACTGGTTCCGGACCATTCCCCTGACCTTCAAGGACCAGTTCATCATTGCCTACGGGGGGCTCCGAGGTGCCATCTGTTTTGCGCTGGTGTTTCTCCTCCCTGCCACTGTGTTTCCCCGAAAGAAGCTGTTCATCACGGCCGCCATTGTTGTCATTTTCTTCACTGTCTTCATCCTGGTGAGTCAAGTTCTCTCTCCTAGAAATGACTCTCCCTTCCTCAGGAGAAAAGGTTGGTCGTTCAGACTACTTGAATGAATTCTGTTGGTGGATGCAAAGTGGCATGGGGTGCTGAAGCATTGGGAGTCATGCTGGCCTGGAACGTGATATTTCCTGTCTGGGTTCATGTCACTGGATTGTGTAGGGCACTACAAGAATCCAGTTTGGTCACTTGGCCCCCTCAGAGGAATGGTTATTTAAAGAAACTCAGCTGAGTGAGCTAAGCTCACGGTCGTTCAGACTACTCGAATGAATTCTGTTGGTGGATGCAAAGTGGCATGGGGTGCTGAAGCATTGGGAGTCATGCTGGCCTGGAACGTGATATTTCCTGTCTGGGTTCATGTCACTGGATTGTGTAGGGCACTACAAGAATCCAGTTTGGTCACTTGGCCCCCTCAGAGGAATGGTTATTGGTCGTTCAGACTACTTGAATGAATTCTGTTGGTGGATGCAAAGTGGCATGGGGTGCTGAAGTATTGGGAGTCATGCTGGCAGGGAACGTGATATTTCCTGTCTGGGTTCATGTCACTGGATTGTGTAGGGCACTACAAGAATCCAGTTTGGTCACTTGGCCCCCTCAGAGGAATGGTTATTTAAAGAAACTCAGCTGAGTGAGCTAAGCTCACTACTGGAAACTCACAAACCGTGCTTGCTAATCCTTGTCATTTGCCTTGCTCTCCGACCTAGTAAAGGTACTTGTACTGTGCTGGTTGTATGCCACGACCTTCCAACAGTTACTTGACAGTAGTTGGCTGCTGGTGCAGGGGAATGGTGAATCTAGTGTTATGGGGAAGCAGTAAGTGTGGCTGACTGATGCCTGACTTTGTAGCTTAGTTAATATGGCAGCTTCAGGAGATTGTGTTTTGTGACTGTTTATTTAGCAAATATTTGTTGTCTTCTGTTACCCACATGGACCAATTTGGGAAAGCAGGATCATCTGTACATGAGCGAAACAAAACAAAACAATTCCTGTTTCTCCGGAACTTCCATCTTGTGTGGGGTTGGGGAGGGTCACAAATGCTAGAAGAAGGAACATAATATTAAGTCCAGAGTGTGGTAGAAGGGGAAAGAGGCTGCACAGCAAAACAGATGGGATCAGGAACTGGAGGCAGAATATGCTTGGCCAGAATGTAGGGTGGGCTAGGATAACAGGAGGACACACTGGAGTCATGTGTCATGTAGGGCTGTGCAGGTCCATATAATGAGCTTAGTTCTTGTCCAAGGGAAGTGTATGCACAATGGGGGCCAAAGTAGACCTTGCATAGGTCCTGGTGGAAGCAGGAGAGGGATAAAAAGTGGTATAATCCTAAGGGTCCATTTGGAATGGACCTGCAGGTCCCTCTGGGTGCATGTGGGGAAAGAGGAGGTTTGGTGACCCCTGGAGTGGGGTGTGAGTAAGGAAAAGAATGGGCTCACCCTTAAGTGAGAGAGTGAGTCTGTGCCTGAAGGAGACCAGAGCAGGGAGGTTGGCCACTCAAATAGAAGATTATTGGGCTGGAGGCATCTATGAGACTTACAAGTGCAGACACTGACTGGACAGGTACTAAGACCCTCAGTTCAGGAAAGATGTCAGTCCTCAGCAGCTTCTGTTTGAAGCCATGAAACAGATGGATTATCTAGAGAGTGAAACCATACATTGAAGAAACAAAAAAGAACAAAGATTGGGCCCGGGAGCAACCTAGTCTTATGCCTTTGGAGGGGAAGAAGGAAACAGCCAAGGAGATTGGCACATGATTTTCATCTTTATCTAACCATCTGACAATGGTTCCTAGGCACCGAAATCACATATTGTCATCTTGTTTATTAGCTCCTCTAATCCTCAGATCAATTCCCTGGGATGTAACTAGTTTATTATTCCCATTTTTTTTTGGTGAGAAAAGTGAGACACTGTAACTGTAGTTAAACAGTCTTGCAAAATTTACATAGCTAGTAAAAAGATACAGTGGGTAGTTTGGCAGCCAGTGGATCTTGACCTAGAGACCCTGCTACAGAGCCTGGTGTGCACTGAGTACTCAGTATTGCAGTGTGTCAACAGTCTCCTAGTCAGTTCTCTGCCGGACAGCTCAGCTTTGCTGTGTTCAGGAAAAGATACAGTGGGTAGTTTGGCAGCCAGTGGATCTTGACCTGGAGACCCTGCTACAGAGCCTGGTGTGCACTGAGTACTCAGTATTGCAGCGTGTCGACAGTCTCCTAGTCAGTTCTCTGCCGGACAGCTCAGCTTTGCTGTGTTCAGATCTCCCAATGTGAGGACACTTGCTGTGTAGACTCCCCTGTCTAGACTGAAGAGACAGCCACTTTCCATTCCCATCTCTGTCACCCATACTTTTATAATGTCAGTTCCCTCCAGTAATTTCCACAGTGTAGCAAGTATATCTGGTGCCTGGTGGGAGTTTTCTTACACATGTCATCTCATTTCATCCTCTAAACAGTCCTCTGCATTGGAGACCCATGTCACTGCCCACAGAGCAAATTCATTTTCAAAGAAGGAAACAGACCCCAGGATATGCATTTGAGGCGCTGAACCCGAGACTGACTTCATAGGCCAAGCTCATCACTGTCTAGTGCTATTGACTCCTGAAAAAAGCTGCTTTGCTGGGTTATGGCTTCTGGTGTTGTCAGTGAATGATGGGAATACATGCCAAGAAAGGCAATATTAGGAGTTCACACCATGCTGTGCTAACCTCATGCATTGTAACTACACACACTTTTCACATGGCTGGGTTGTCATATAGCCTTTTTTAATGTTCACGTTTTCATTTATCTTACACTTTTTTGGTTAAGGTATGACACAAGTATATACACTGGCCTAGGTCTGCACAGGGACAAGATCATCGGCAGCTCTGTGTCCCATCTTTTTATCTTGTCCCACTGGGAGTTTGGAATAGACAAGGGTACACATGGAGCTGTCACCTCCTTTGATATCAAGGCCTTCGAGAATATTCAGTGGAGCACATGCCTGAGGCTATTTTCAGACATCTGTTTTTATAATGTGTAAGAGTTGCCTCTAAAATAATAGTGAAAACTATGATGAAGAATATCAAAACAATTAATATGGCTATTGCTGCTCTCAAGTGCCATATGCTGTACATAGCTGTGTGAGCCGTACATTATATGACCAGCAGCACAGTAGGTCAGTTGACACAACCTTCATCACAGACAAGTGAGTGATGCTTTCAGGTCTGGAGTTTGAACTGTGAAGACATCCCTAAGTGAGATCTTTTAGGCTCTCTGTGGTGTATGTGGGCTACAGTTGAACACACATTATGTGACATCATGTGACGTTACTTTAATTTCAATCAAAGTTATACTGGTTTCTGTTCAAACCACCCATCTTGGTTTGAATGCCCTCCTTGAACTTTAGGAACACCAAGCAACCTTCTGTATATTGAGGGGATGTATGTTTCCAGGTCTTTGTCTTTTCTCTTCACAGTGTATAGGACACTTGTAACAAGCCATTCAAGCTGCTCATTCCACACTTTGGGATAAAATTGTGAAGAAAAGTACATTTACCTCATGGGTTTTCACCTCCCCAGGTACCCAAGGGAGGAACACATGTAGATATGTACCAGAAGAATGAGTAGTAGAATACATGTAGGTATAGACCAAGGGAGCGAGGGATAGAGTGCATATAGGTATAGACCAGGAAGGGCAAGTGATTCTCCTCTTCTTCAAGGCCTGCTGACCCTCTCCCCCACCCCCGACCCTCCTAGGTGTCCTATGCTTCTGGACTGAGGAACTACTTTTCCTCCTCTTAGAACAAAGGCTTTCAACACTGAGTACCAGATACAAACACAAAATCATACCCGCTTAGCGTTAGTAGGAACTGAGTCATTGGGAGCAATCAGGGCAGCCACCATCTCTAGAACAAGTTCAAATTCCATCAGTGCAAAGCCAGTCCTCTGTCCCAGTCATCACAGGCTTGGGCAGTTAAAACATAACTGGTGTCAGTTCACAGAAAGATGTAATTTAAGATAGGACACATCATACAAACTTAAATTTCTATAGTTATTAGGCTCATCAGTTATAAAATTGTATATCTACAGTCAGAACATTGTATAGAACAAAAGAAGAGTATTGTGAAGTGTATACTGATATTTATAGACTGTGTCTAGATGATTAATGGTAATATATTAGTATAGAGCATTACTAGTATTATTTGGTTATTAGGGATTGAGACTCAATAAGAAATAAATTACTGATTACCCTCATTAAATGCCTACACACTCACTTCAAATGCAATGTATGAGTATTTAATATTTTTATATGTATGAGTGTGTTGCCTACTCCTGTAAGTGCACTTGTATCGTACAATACCCATGGAGGTCAGAAAAGAGCAGCAGATCTCCTGGAATTGGAGTCATAGATGGTTGTTATCTGCCATATGGATGCTGGGACTCAAACCCAGGTCCTCTGTAAGAGTAGTTGGTGCTCTTAACCACTGAGCCATCTCTCCATCTTAAGTATTTAATATTTCTAAAATGACAAATGAGCTTGCTCTTTTGATTTTAACTAACCTTATAGAAGTGGAACTCCTACATCTATCTCACTGCTGACTAGCAGCAAATGGTTTGTGCACTGGTGCTGCTCAGTGTTGCCACATCAAGTAACACTGTGGACTGAGTAGCATTGATCTAGACCTCTATGTGTCATGCATCGGGCCACTATTGATGCCACTAAAGGAAACATGAAAAATTTGTGCTATCAAGGACAGAAAATGTTGGCCACATAAATCTAAGTTAGCAAAGATCTTTCCATAAAGGTGTTGATGAATTTAAGGAATGGAGGGTATGAAGTCAGCTAGGATGCAGGCAAAGAACATTCCCGGTGGAAAGAAGCACTGACACAAAAGCCTAAGACAGGAAATGTGCAGAACAGGAATGATGATCCAAACTGGCAAGAAGACCGTGGACGCAGACAAAGTCCAGTGTGCTTTTCACTGAAGGGCGGCAAGAAGGGCTTGG